TTGTCCCTCTGTGATGCTGAACAGATGGGGTGGAATGTGTTTCTCCAGAGAAGCCCTCAGTGGTCTTGGGTAGTCCCTTCTAGAATTTTCTTGACACCCGTGGCCTGGCCTGTCTGGGTCCTTCTGCAAGAAATGAATTACAGGACACATTCCTGACACAAAGGCTGCTCTCGTTGCCTCGCTCGGAAGCAGTGGCACAGCAGAAGCCGAGAGCGGTGGCAGCCCTGTGCTACAGCACGATCACATCACCGAGGGGCACTGTTGCCTTTGCTTAAAGCGCCAGCCCTGGAGAATGACGGCTCGGCGTGTAAAGGAACTCCGTCCGTCCCCAGCTCTGCAGCTTCTCAAACAAGAGAAACTTGCCCTACTCCAGCAAGACTGCGCTTCCCCGGTATCCAGGAATATGTCAGAATTAGAAAATTAAAGCCTAGTACTTGGGCTTTTTGCTGAGATTACTTCTCACTAACAGCTGTGAAATTGCCTCCGAGAGTTATCCAGCGGGGACTAACACAGACCAAGTCATTTTGCATTCAGTGAGTACACGGTATGAGTCAACCTGATCTGAATAAAGGTAGAAGTAGCAATATCTCATTTCCAAGCTCTCACAGGTTCATTTCTCAAAGAGACACCAAACCTTGAATTAAAAAAAAAAAAAAAAAAAAACCAAAAAAAACCAAACCAAAACAAAACAAAGCAACTAACCAAACAAAAACCCCCAAACTGATTTACCAATATAATTTCAAACACCTTCCATGAATGCTGCAGACAGCTTCAGGAATCAGATCCTGATCTTGCTTGCTGATATTGTAGAGTGAGAAAAACACCAGTAGCTTCAACAGATTTTTATTAGATTAGTTCAATTTGTGCTGAACTACCACAAAACTGTTTTAGCCTTGGAACTGGCAGCTTAGTTACATGACTGTGAAGGTCCTGGTCACTACACCAGAAACAAGATTACAGAAGGCTTTTCCATTTAATGGCACTTCTGCCAGTTTGTACTTCTGGCATGAATATTCTTTTAAAATAGCTCTCTGAAGGCAATTAAGGAAAACAAAAAAAAATAAGGAGAATAAAGAGACTGTCATTAGTAATCCAAGAAGGGTTTCATTTCTGAGAAAGGATTAACAATGAAGACAAAGAGCAGAATGAGAAAGCAATTGCTGTTGTCATTATCAGCAATTTCTTCAAATTAAGTTGGCAAGTCTTGTATTCAGTGTGCAATATTCATTGTGGATTGGCATTTGAAAAGATTTGTAAGAATTAAAAGTAAGTCTTTAGAGCAAAGCAGCAGCAATATAGTCTTGGATTGTGACCTTGGGTAAATTCCATCAGGACTTCAGTGCAGCTCTAGCCATGTAATATATCACTTGGTCCTGGGGAGATCCTGTATCTTTTCACTGTTCTACTGATCCCTTAGAGAAAAGTTAAGCACACAAAATTTTTTGCAAACTAGCCAAAACTTTGCTTTCTGCTTTGCAGATCTATGTAGAAACAACATAGCAAACCTCTGCAAAACTAAATGCAGACCAGTTCAGAGTGAAGGATGCATTAATAATAATATTAGGGTGAAAGAAATTGAACTGGGACTTTCCTTCTCTGCAGTAGTGCAGAGCTTCACCATGTAATAGTGAGGGATGGCTGAAGAATCCCAGGTAATTTATATCATAATAGGATCTGCTTGGTGGGGAGCTCACTCCAGTGGGAGGAATGAAATGTCACTGAACATGTGTGATTTCTAAACAAAAAATACCAACCAATGCACCATGGTGCAATATTAACATTGTTTCCTTCAGCTCATATCACGAAGCAAGTATCATCAAGGAGATGGGAAATGTCAGGGTGTGGCCTGTATCCATCCTTCATGATCTAAGATACTGCCCAAAAACAATTGGGCTGGTGGCTCCTCAAATCTGCCTTTTCCCGGCTTTGCCAAGAATGCATTGGAAAACCTTGATTTCACCTGATGCAGAATGAGAAAACTGCAGGTTGTGAGATTAGTTCAGATCATGTCATCACGAAACCTGATGCCTTTGTTTCTGTCCTTTAATATCTTCTATCTTTGCTTAGCCAAGGCCACTGTGTTCACAAAACAAAACGAGACCTTGCTATTGTCATTCAGCCTCACAATTGCTCCTTGCAGTGCTTCTCTTGGCATTTCCCACCATTCTTTCGCGTCCTGCATCTCTGCTGCTCCTGCCACTTTTCCCCTCTGCTTTCCCTGCTTTATCTCCTGCTTTTGTCTGCTGCTCCCCACTGTGCCTCTGTTAATCCTTTTGTTGTGTCCCTCCCGTCGGTGCGAGCACGGCTCCTCCGTCAGCCTCCTCTGCTCTTCCTGCTCCTTCTGGCCGCGCATGCAGCCGCTTCCCCTCGCAGATCTGCCGCTCTGCCATGCACAGCTGCTGCTCTTCTCCCCACCTCCACCACTCCCGCTGCTGCCGCTGCTCCAAAAACAGTTTTGACCAGCTCTACTTCCAAACAATGAGGCTTTGACCTCTTTCCCCTGGGAGAAGATTTCACAGCCAAACACGTCTCACTGGCAGGAGCTTTTCCTGATATTCAGCCTGTTTCCTTCTCCCATTGCTCCTACTTAAATCTCTTTATATTGAACTAACAGCTCATGCCCCAGGCTAGGTGTTTTAGCCCTCCTGTTCTGCCTGTTGCAGAGAAGGGCTGGATACAGATAGTGCTGCCAAAAGGAACAGGGACACCCTCCTAAAACGCAGCGCTGGCTGTCCAAGTAAGCAAGCTCCTGTTGTACCCAGAAGGAGCAGAACAAACACTCTTACCATAATGAAAAATAGGCCACATGCCTTACAAAAATTCACCAAGGGCCAAATCTTGATCAGTTTTTATTCATCTGAAGGAAAGATACTCGTACGGACAGCTGTGTCAACAGCCTGTGAGCCAGGGGCTGAGTGAATCTGAGCTCCTGAAGGGGAACAGGGATCTGAAATAGGTGAATAAGGCCCAAACAGAGTACATTTGGACATGGGGAAGTGGTTTGGGCCCAGGAGGCAGAGGAGAAAAACACTGAGCTCGCACAGAGTGCAAAAGCAGGAGACACTGAGTTTAATTAGTGAAGGAAGAAAAAAAAAGGAAGAAATAAACCAGACCGTATGGAAGGGAGAGGGGTGGGAGCAGGGTTCAAGCAGCTGGATGTGGGCTGAGGTGCATTAGGTGACCTGCAGTGGGATGACAAGGGTTGAGTGGGGCTAAAGGTGAACGCACCCCCCACACACAGTGAGGTTAACAAATTGTGGAATGACTGAACACAACTGTGAAGAGAGTTGTGTTTTAAGGGTGAAGACTGTCTTTTAACAAGACATCAGAAAAGTGCTCAGTCAAAGTGGAGATTAAGACTGATAGTAAAGCTCCACTTAGAGCCTAAGGCAGCCAACTGCTGTCTGTAAAACAGCTCCATGGCTGGTGTGAAACAGAAGTGGTCATCTATCCACACAACCACTGAGACTCCTCCTTGCTAGGCTCAACACACATACCAGGGATAGAGAATGCAGTTTTACTGCGCAGAGCGAGCCAACTGAACTGCTGAAGAAAGGTGGAGATTTTCTGTTCCTTCCTACCCTCCCAGCTGCACCTTCTGGACACTTACTGGGCTCTGGCACTTCTTCATACCTTTCATCTATGGATCTCGCTCACTAAACTATCACAAACATATCCATTTCTTTTTTTGTGATCAATTTTCTGCTGGCTTAGCGAATTGGTGTATAGCAAGGGTTCAGAGAGTATAATTTTTAAAGCACAAACCACAGCTGTTTGTGCACAGGATAATGAAGATGAAGGGAAAATAAAGCGTTGTTTTTCCTCATCAGAGGCAATATTGAATCTAGCTGAGTGTACACTAAAACCTGAGTGAACATCTTCCTTTTCTCAGGTGCTTTAAAATGTGCCAACCGATATGTTCCCATTAGCACGTTGGAAGGACTGCTCATTTTCCTAGTCTAGACAGGCCTTTCAAGCAGACGTGCAGATCTGCCTTCAGGCATTTTGTCAGGGCAATCCTCAAAAGCACCTTTCAGAGGCTCAACAGACAACTTCAAATGGCAATTTGGAATCTTATTCTTGGTGGTTAAAATAGCTTATTTTGGCCAGTCCAAAAGCTAAATTATTAATACCAGATGAATTAATAGCAGTGAAAACTGCTCATTGGAAATGATAATGGCACTGAACACCATAACAGATCCCCTATAGTGTAAATCAACCTGGTCCCATTTATTTAATGAAGCTACAACCACTTACAGCAGCCAAGGACCTGCCCTAACATTTTCAGGCTTTTGCATGTACCTAACATACCATTGCAACCCTTCTCCCTCAATTTTTCTGCCATTCTTATAATTTTTCCCTTAGAGGGCTTCTTTAGACATAGCAAAGACTGCTTGGTAATTTTTATGTCTAGCCTCCTATTTCCCTTGCTACTCTCCTGCACAGTAATTTGTGTGAGGAAAAGGTAAATCAGAGCCACATGTTCCCTTTATAAGCCCGAGATAAAGGACAGCAGCAATATTGTTTGCTGTGAATTCACTGGGATTAGGCAAAATGCTGTTAACTGTGGAGAAGACCACAGTATCAGCATGCTTCCTCTGTTTTGCATGTTATTTGTTGGGGCAAGCACATTTTCTTCTATCAATGTAAGAGGCAGCTGAGGGTGGTGCATCATGTCCTGGACTTCCTAGGCAGCGTGCCCATTGCCCTCAAACAAGCTGGCACAATTAGATATGCCATACTCAGCCAACCAAACAAGTTGTACCTAGTGAAGGCACTAGCTGAAGGTGTGGAGAACATACAAATATTTTACAATTCTTGGTTACTCCTATAACAAAAAGAGCTAATCAAAACCAGAGTTTAGTTTGTTAATGAAAAAATAGGAGAGGGGGATTACTTTGAGATATTTTTCCAAGTAAACTGTAATACTCATGTAAATCTGAAAACATGATATTTTTATTTTGAAATGCCACCATTGTAGTGTGAGTGTATGTTCTAACCTGTTTTGTCTCCTGTAGTGGAGAGGGAGTTGTGTATCACTTGCATCACTGGTGACATCCCACCAAGGGAGATACAGTCCAGTCAGTTTCTGCAGCCCTAGAACAAAGATGGGTATTATTACTGGATCAAAGGAAAACCTCCTTAATTAATATAACATCTAGGGTCTGACAGTCCACCAGGCCACAACACAAAGAACCATGATCTGTTCCAATAAAGTCAAGAGCATCACTGTGGAATTACGTTTACATGAGTGCAAACTAAAACTCTTAGTCTTATCCTGGCTTTTTATCTGTTCCCAGTTACTGTAATTAGCAATTCCCTGCGGAACGATTAATCCACCTATCTCCAGCTGAAGAGTGCAAAGCTGACTATTTGAACAAAAATTTAATGCTTCCCACCACATATTTTTAGGAACTATTTATTCCATGCCACACTTCTTTAGTTTTGTATCTATGTTACAGTTACATATGTGCAGAAAGGTATGTATGTCCTGTGCTTACATCTATTCTGGAAATAAATTAAATCCACAGGTGATTTTAGCATTTCAGGTAATGCTCTTGCACTAGAGCTGCTGGCCAGTGCTTGTTTGTAACACATTTGCTTAAAATCAGTGTTTTTCACAGTGTTTCAAGAACTGGTTATCAATAACATTTAATGAACACTCAACAGTCCTGGACTAGTCAATTGTACCACCTGTGGCTTCAAAGAAGTCTCTTCTGCCACATTCGGAGTGTTGAAGAGACTTAGGCATTGTTGACACTGGTACTGGAACAATTTTGCCCAAATCAGTGCTTTTATATTCATCTCAAGCTTAAAGACTTGGGGGATGTTTTCTCCCACTTCATTTTGGGCTCTGAGACATGCAGTGCTTTCCTGAAACTTCTAGCACTGAATCTCAGTGAATGATACCTGGATGTGTTTGCTTTGAAGACAAGAAATTCTTACATACAGTGGGACCTCTTAATACTTCTCTAGGGCATTTCCATCACCTACCATAACTTTGCTCAGAGCCACGGTTTGCTGTAGGCCTTGGTTGACGGAAGACGCTGCACCAGAGGTACAAAACCATAAAACTTATCAACATAAGTATCCCCCTTCCAGCAGAAAACTAACCACAACTGCTGTGTATAACGGCACCAATATTCCCACCAGCTTGCTGGTGTAAATGAGGATAGGGACACATCCATTTACAGCACAAACTGCTGGGCTATGAACAGAAGGGTGCCAGCACCATCTGCACAGTGCTTACCTGTCCAGCAGTCACCCAGCACAGCCCAACACAAATATGAGGTGGCTGCCTTTCCTCCTCCTCCCAGGACCAAACAGTCTCAGGTTACTCCACGCTGGCTGTGGGCAGGAGAATGTCTCTACAGTGGAAGTTTCACAAGCTTTGATGATTTAATGTGTCTGTACCCTGAGGACAGGACTAGGTTTTCCTGGTTTTCAGTCACAACCTCTGATCTTTTTAAAACTTGCTTAGCTCTTCTTTGCTCATTTCCTTTCCACCTTGCTGGCTTAATCCTGGCTTTGGTCAGGTGAGATGGCTCTGGGAAGCTTTCCCACTGTGAGATAGCTACTCCATTACCTCTGTTACTGTACATTTGTTTAATTAATTGCTCATTTTGTTCCTGAGCTGTTGTGCTGGCCCAGTGCACTTAGTGTATGCATGAGTGCCTAAAAGGTGACGAGGCTCCTAGGGATGACTCTGTCCCTTTCATTTATTTATGGAAGTTGAGCACATGATCCCTTATAAATTGCAGGCACCACTTTCTCAGCCAGACTGTGGATACAGTGCCACAGGCTCCAGCCCCTCTCAGCTGGCACTGACAGCAAGCAAGGAAGGCAGCAAGGACCATGCTGCAGAGAGCAGGACTGATCAGCCCAGATCAGGAAAGCAATTAAACTTTATGTGGCATTTGAACTGTGGACCTGGAGGTGCACAAAATAGCCTTTGGCCACTCTAAGATTTTTTTTTTTAAGTGCTGTGACTACTTAACAGAGGTAATTGTAAGAGCATAAATCAAGGGTTCTGTTATTCCTCAAGAGGCCAACATTTATTACAGCAGACTTTAAAATTATTTTGAAGCATAGAAATGATGAGAATTTACATAGCAAATTACTTATTGTCAACAGGCAATATGGCAGAAGCTTCAGCAACAGCTGCTGAGACAAGCAGCCTCATCAGTATATGAGCTTATATTTAAGCACTGAACTGTGATGACAGATGTTCCTTCTGGTAGGAATGCTGACTTAAACAGCACAAACCAATGGTTCTTATCCCTGAGCTGCCTTGGTCAGTCTGGGTCAGCATCCAACCCCACAAACAGCTACAATGAAAAAGAAGGAGGGGCTGGCACATGGTGGAAGGAGAGAGGGTGTGAGGACTTGTCTTGGGGTGACTTGAGCCAGCAGTGCTGCTAAAAGGCATCCTAGTCAGACTAGGTTCCAGCTGTCTGAAGCCCTGGGATCTTTGCTTCTTTTCTGCCTACAGTAGAGACAGCTTCAAAGGTTGCTCAAGTGTCAAACTGGGTGTTTCCAGGCCCGCTTCATCCACCTTCCCTATCTCTGGCATGTAAGCAGGGAGTGTGTACAGTGGGATATTGCAGGACATGCTGCACCTGTGTAAAACAAGTCAATAGACATTTCACTAATGTACACTTGGAGGATGGGATGAGGGAAGGTGACAAGAAGTTGTCCTCCATAGTAGATCCGTGTGTTGAGAGAGTCCACTGAGGCATAAAACCTTCCTTGCAAGGCTACCTCAAGTCCAGTGCAGAGAATTTATTGTCCTGGATCCAGGCCCAAGGAGTGCAGCTCTGGCTCTGCTGCTATTTGAGTAGTTTGGGACCAACAATTTACCTGTAGTTCACTTTTCACCATCTGTTAAACTTCTTAAGACAATTGTGCTGAATGTCAAACATGTTGGGTTCTGTATCAGCTGGGTTATAATTAATGAGTGTCTATGATGTGGCTGTTGGAAGACTTCCACAGAAAGTGGAACTTCTTTTATCCACAACTCTGCTCCCCCTGTTCATCCTCCTCACTTTCCCTGTGGGTATGTGTACCTGAATACTGAGAGCTGATCTGGTTTTCCTTGTTCATAAGCACTGCTTTTTTCCAGTACAAAAGGAGATGCCAAAGAAGGTTGTTGGCTTCATGTAATTTCTCTGAGATGCTCAGATACTGAGTTGCTGCACACACTCTTGATAGATGAGATTAGATAAAGGAATGAAGTCAAATAGCAATTTTCTGTTACTATCTTCCAGGCAGTGGAGATGGAGCTAATACAATGGGCATCCTGGGAACACCTAAGAAGGAAATGTCACTGGGAATCAACTAAATAAACCATTTGCTCCTCCTAGAACTGCAACTATGCAGACACTGTCCCCCATCCCATTCAACTCTTCCCTATTCTTGAGACGCAGCAGTAAGTACAGTCTGAGTCAGTAAGTACAACATTTCTGGCCCTTTTTTTTCTTCTTGCAGTGACTGTTGGAAAAGTGGATTTAAAAGAAGTATGTAGCAAAAAAGCAAATTTGTAGTTATGAAACTTTAAAAATCCACTAGCAAAAATGCTATCCTTTTTTAAAATTAGCAAGTATGATTATTCAAGTTCCAGGATATTTGACTGGAGAGGTAGAAAATTTGCAAAGTATACTTCTGCTAATGGATTGAACTTGACAATGTTTTGTGAACTAATCCTAGGCCTTGGAAAGGCTTGGATATATATTTTGGTCAAATGAATTGATTCCATAGAACACAAGTTGTCAGTAGCCTGTTAACAATAAGTAAGTTCAGAAGAGTACTGCTCCATTGGGATTTAAATCTTTATCTCAGCAGTAATACTTGCCATCTAATTTTGATCAATGGTTAGAAAACCATTACTTACTTCCAGGAAAATCTTCACAAAAGCTATCACTAGAATTACTTTTTTCTGAAATGCTTGGAAGCATTTTTGGGAAAGACATGAGGAAATGATGGAGAATCTAGTCTTCCTGCATGAATACAAAATATTAGAGAAGCATTTCAAACAATTTCATTCAGAGACTTCCCAGGTCATCCTCCTCCTCTTTCCTCTTCCCCCTGCACTCCCCTTGTTCCCCAGTAAACCTGTGACACCATCTCCCATGGCATCCTCCTGGATACACTGGCAGCCCATGGCTTGGGGAGGTGAACTGCTTGTGGGGTTAAGAACTGGCTGGATGGCCAGGCCTAGAGTGATGGTTGATGGTGCTGCATCCAGCTGGTGTCTGGTAAACAGTGGTGATACCCAGGGCTCAGTGTTGGGACCAGTCCTGTTTCATATTTTTATCAACCATCTGAAGGAGGAGACTGAGTGTCTCCTCAGTCATTTTGCTGATGACACCAAGCTGGGCAGGAGTGTTGATCTGCTGGAGTGTAGGAAGGCTCTGCAGAGGGATCTGAACAGGCTGGATCACTGGGCCGAGACCAATGGTATGGGGTTCAACAATGCCATGTGCCGTGTTCTGCACTGGGTCACAACAACCCCAGGCAGTGCTAGGCTGGGGGAAGAGAGCCTGGAAAGCTGCCTGACAGAAAAGCAGCTGGGAGTGCTGGTTGACCCTCTTTGCAAAAGCAGTTGATTACAAAGGCTTCTGCTACCTTCTTGAAGAAGGACACCTTGTGTGCCACAAACTTCTCTTGGAGTTCCTTCTTGACTGAAGTCTCTCTGATTTGCAGTTTAGCACAGAACAGATGCTGTGCCAGAAGAGCAAAGAAATATTCCCCTGCATCGAGCAAGTGCAGTACCAATGTCGTTAGTTATTTGAAGAACTTGCCAGTCAGGGTAGCTGTACGTCTCTAGACTGTGACACTTCTGAGGCTCTATTGCTGTCTGCACCATTCAGAGCTGCAGCATCAAAGAATAAACATATCTCTAATTTATCTCTAAAATATCTCTAATAAGATCTGTCATCCAGCTCTTTTCAGGGATCCTCAATACTGAACTGAGCAAGAGGAGGTTTCTAGAGTCTCTTATCTCCTGCAGTATCACAGCTTCAGAAATCCTAGAATCCTTTCCTCTGGAGGGAGCTTCTGGCTATCCTTAGCATCACTGAATGATCCCTTTGTGAACT